CTAATGAAACCTTCAAAACGGTCGATCCACTTAGATACTGCCGTTGTGAGACCAAACATCATGTAGCAGCTTTTTCCTGACATGTACCAGTGATTATTGGAGTATCAGACTCAGGAAAAGGACACAGGACAACATTGATCTAAAGAGACCTCGATGGAAAGACCATTTCCTGTGGTTTCTGCGTCATTTATTTCATTTGTTCATTCGGCTATAGCTAGACTATTGTGTGCAGTTCTGCAAATTCACATTACAGCAGGATGTGATAGCACTGTAAAGGATGCAGGAGAGATTTACCAGGATGTGGTCTGGGCTGAAGAGTTTCAGTTATGAAGAGAGATTGGACAGACTGGGTTTGTTTTCCTTAGAGCAGAGGAGATTTACAGGAGACAACATTGAGATGTATAAAACAATGAGTGTTATTGATAGGGTAGACTGAAAGAAACGTTTTCTCTTCATGGCAAGATCGATCAAAAGCGGGGCAGAGATTTAAAGTAAGATGTCGGAAGGTTTGAGTAGATGTGCAGAAAACTTTTTTGAGCCGGTGCGTGTTTGGAATCTGGAAGCCACTGTCTGTAAGTGTCCTAGTGGCGGGTATTCTAGTAGTTTTAAGAAGCATTCAGATGTGAATTTGTGATGCCAAGGCATACAAGACTATGGGCCAAGCGATGGAAAATAGAATTTGGATACTAAAGCAATTTTATTTGCCTAATGCACACTTAAGGGGCTCGGGGGTTGGTGGGGTGGGGAGGTGGGGTGCACGCGCCGTCCTTTTTACTATAGTAGTTAGTAACCCCGCCCGTCACGCGGGAGACCGCGGATCAATTCCCAGCAGGGAGGCTCTAAGCATTTTTGATTCAACCTTGGGTGATGTCTGTGTGGAGTTGGTGCCTTCTCCCCTTGTCTCCGTTGAGATTTCTTCTCACAGGCAGACCACATGCAGATTAGGTGAATTGGCCATTGGAAATTGCCCGTAGTGTGCAGGGATGTGCAGACCAGATAGTTCAGCCGTGGTAAATACACGTTTACGGAAAGTTCTCGGGTCTGAGGAGGGGTCACCGCACCCTACAGTTAACTGTGAGTTTTTCTTCACAGATGCTGCCAGACTTGCTGAGATTTTCCAGCAACTTTGTTTTACTTCGAGGGTCGGTACAGCCTCAATGGGCCGAATCGATAGGGTTTCTGTGATCTCTGACTCTATGCGTTTTTATCTTATTTAGGATTTTGAAATTGTCTCCACCAAAATGTGCGGCTCATTAATATCTGTTCAGAAGAGAGGTGGTCTCAATAGGACTCCTTTTAACAACATTGTGCACTGTTCTCAAATCTGGAAAACAACTCCTCATGGACAATTTTACATCCCCGCTGTCATGGAGCTTTTCATTCCATGACATGACCAACACTACACCAACTGTCATCACCGTTTCTACGTTAAAGAATACACAGCTATTTACATATATCTCTGAAAAAAGAGTGAAATTAGTGTCAGAGCACCGCACTAATCAGATACAAATTTTCAGCAAGAAACAACGGATTATTGTTGATGGTTGTTTTTGTCACTGATAATCTGTTTCCAGTGTTGTTTCAACAGGCTCTGTGCAAGGTCACGTGATATATGTGACAGACATCGAGACATTGTACCAGGAAGAGGCCAGTCGGTCCTTCCAGCCTGCTCCATTATTCAATAAGATCATACAGATCACCCAACTCAGTACCCTGTTTCACTTTTCATCCCATATCCTTTTGTCCCTTGAGTCCTAAGAACCATAACTAACTCCTCCTTGTAAAAATAATCAATGTTTTAGCTTCAACCGCTTTGTGAAGCATAGAATTCTTCAGGGTCGTTGTTTTCTGGTGATGATATTCCCCTCACCTCATTCCTATATGGCTACAGCTTATCCTCAAACTGTGATCTCTGGTTTTGGACTCTCCAGTGATCGGCAACATGCATCTTTTGTTTACTTTGTCTAGTCCTGTTGGTATTTTAGAGGTTGTTTGGAAATGTCCCTCATTGGCCTACAGATACGTTTAATGATTTGTAGGTCAATATCGGAGGCATGATCAAGAAATTTGCAGGCAACACAAGACTTGGGAATTTCATTGAAAATGAAGAGTGTCGGTGTCGTCTGCAAGAAGATATTGATGGACTGGTCAGGCGAGCAGAAAAAAATGACGAATGGAAATAAGCCCAGGAAAGAGTGAGGTGATGTGTCTGGGGAGATCCAACAATGTAATGGAATGCACAATTTAGGAAACAATACCAAGAGATGTGTGGGAAATTTTGATGATGGATGTATGCTAAAGGAGTCAGAAAGATTTATGGGGCGAGGACATTTTTGTTTTTCAGACAGAAGGTGGTAGGTGTATGGAACTCACTGCCGGAAATATATGAGACAGACACACTGAACTCATCTTAAACCTCCCTGGATTTTCCACTCGTGTTCTATAATCTGTAGATCTACAGCTGCAATTGTGGAAAGTGGGCTGAGGTAAGTGTTCCGTTTCTCCTTCAGCACAGAGACACTGGACAGAGTGACCTCCTTCTCGTCTGCACGTTTCACAAAATTTTCGAATAAATTGATGTCAGCGAGAAGGCAACTTTACATAATCGATCATTGGCTGATCTCAGTGAGTTGATGGCTCTCTCTTAACAACTTTCTCGGTCCTTCATTGTGCATCTCCTCAACATGTCTTGTTGTTGTCGTGTGGAATGAACATGTGAATATTTGTCTCGTTCAGTGAGCCATCACTAAACAGCAGGCAAGAGCATTCTTTGTGAAGTGGGAGCGAGCTGGACCCATTAAACAGGGATCGGTGTTTTCAAATGGTCCTACGCTGTTAACACTTTCTCCAATGATCCACGAGATCAGATACTCTTGTATGCTTACCTGCCAGTTTCATTTGTTTCATCAACAGTGATTTTCCACAAACTAACAGTAAACCCTTCAATCTAAATGCAATCTCTCAAACTGTTTCTATTGCTCGTTGGGTGCTGTACATCGTCGGATTTTGCAGACAACGGCAGTTTCCCAATACGCGTTCTCTTGTTCAAATGCAAAGCACTGCCTGCCAGAGGCAGGAAATGGCTGAACACATCTGGCAATGGACCAACGCCGGTCCAGGAGAAAGGGCAGAAACAGCAGGCTCCTGGGAGCAGGGAGTCAGAATGGGAAGCAGATGTTATTGAAACAGTTTGCTGCCTTTTCTCCCGAAGCAACAGGGAATTGACTTAGTTTAGAAAGAGCTATACTAAGTTTGTTGTTAATACTGTTACATTGACGATGCCTCAAAACCCGGGCAGGCCCAAGCTGCTTGCCTTCCATTTTGTCAAATTCCCCGGTCAGTTTTTCGAACAGAGCTGCATTCAATGATGTCGGACTTCCTGATCTCGGGGTTTGGCGTCAGGGCCACAGGGTTCGTTGAGACTAATATAGCGCAGCAACACACATGGAGAAAGTGAAAACAAATATTTTGGATGTTTGCCCACGCAATGGGAAAATAACCACCTTGTGGGGAGGCGTGGGCCTAGTGGCATTATCGCTAGACTATTAATTCGGAATCACAGGTATCGTTCTTTGAATTCAATAAAATTCTTGAATTAGGAGTCAAATGTCGGGAAAATCGCAACCCAATAGACTTTCGAGAAGGAATTAAATGCATCACTAGGCAACGCAAATCCCGTCCAGTGATCTGAGCTAACCAACTTTCCCCAATCTAACATTTAAAACACAACAGCTCAGTTCCTTTGCAATTTTGAACGAGTCACGTGGAATAATAAGACGCACCTTTTAAAAACATGTTTTTTATTGTAATAATAAATCTTAAGTGCTACACTTCTCTATGCAACTTCATTACAACTAAAGACAAGCAAGTAGAGGCTGCTACCCTCCTAATTCCTTAGTCAACCCAGTCTTGTGAAAGGATGCTGGCATCATCAACCCGTATTCAATGCAGCAAAATTCTCTGTGTTGTACAATCTCATTCGTACTGCAAGAGTGGAATTTACTGTTTCTGCTCTCAGAGCTGAATTGGTTTAGCCAATATCTTGCTCAGTTCCCTGCTTCCAGTAAACACTTCAATCAGGAACAAATCTATCAAATTCTTTACAGTCCAATACATAGAACATAGAACATAGAACATTACAGCGCAGTACAGGCCCTTCGGCCCTCGATGTTGCGCCGACCTGTGAAACCAATCTGAAGCCCATCTAACCTAAACTATTCCATTATCATCCATATGTTTATCCAATGACCATTTAAATGCCCTTAAAGTTGGCGAGTCTACTATTTTTGCAGGCAGGGCATTCCACGCCCTTACTACTCTCTGAGTAAAGAACCTACCTCTGACATCTGTCCTATATCTATCACCCAAATACAGACCGACGCTGCAAACTTGCAGAAGTCACACATTTCCACTTTCACTGTCTCAATCATTTGACGGCAACGTTCAAAAAGCTCAATGAGATAAATCTAATTCTATTTCGATCATTGGAACGACTTGTAGGAATTTGCATACGGGAAATTGAGTACTATGAAACAGATAAAACAGTTTTTCCGGATTTTATCCCAGCTCAGTGTCAGCGATACAGGGAAGGTCATCGAGCGAAAACATCACCTCCGTTTCTCTCTCCTCAGATGATCCTTCTCCGGTTGAAAATTTATGCTAATCAGTTGATAATTGAGGTATATCCCCCGGGTTCAGATCATTACCCGAACACAGAGAGTGATCTTCTCCAATAAATTCTGTTTTGATCAACGACTTTTTTTCCCACGGGCTGATGTCAGCATCTCAAACAGCCGGTCCACCGCCTCCTTCCCTCCGCCTCATTTGTTGTGTCAGAGCACACAAGGCTATGGGCCAAGTGCTGGAAACTGGGATGCTGAGCCTCTTTCCGTGTTGTAAAAGCACGATGATTCAATCATTTTGGAGGAGAAAGAATGCCAGTGGAAAAAGAAAGCCAGAAGCTGTGTCATTAAGAAACGGTGCAGATGCCCCTACAAGTATCCCTGGTGGTCTAGTGGTTAAGATTCGGCGCTCTCACCGCTGCGGTGCGGGTTTGATTCCCGTTCAGGGAATCAAGGTTTATTGTTCCTGACAGTGGCAACAGCAAAAGCAGCGCAGCTCTGATCGGATTCGTTTCAATATCTCAGATCAGTTAATGTCCCCGAGAACGTGAGAGTCCATGTTCCAGCATCTCAAAGAGAGGAAAGGTGCCTTAACTGTCACTGCTCAGTCGGACTATTCACCTTTGTGTTGTGTTGTTAACAGGGACATGAGCAAGATTCACAAGATGAACAACCAGCAACGATAATCACCATCGCCGCTTCATCTCAGTTGTCTCCCCTTCTTCTTCTGTTGAGTTTCAATGCCAAATAAAACACGTTTGTCGTCAGGAAGCAGCCATTCAATTAGATCACCACTGATCTGAAAAAATTCGCTTTCCTGCTTTTCCTCCATAACCTCAGTTAAACTCGAGCCTAATCACAACATTGTATATTACAGTCAGTTTTCAGAAATTTAGATAACTTTAATGACCTGCGCATGCTTGCAGGAAATTGAATAATATGAAACGAGCTAAAAAGCCCTTCCCGCAATTCAACCCAGTGCAGGGTCAGCCATATGAGAAAAGTCAGAGAGCGAAAACGTTACCTCCATTTCTCCCAGCACAGATTTCTCTCCTGACGACTTGAATATTTGCATCATTTTTCTTTATAATTGAGACATTTTCACGGACAGATCGTCCCACAATGCACAAATATCTGCGCTGCAGAAAACTATTTTGCTTCAGATTAAAATTGCTGAGTAACCTTTCGCACAGCCCAATGCCCAATAATCGTGTCAATTAAAGCTGCTCCGGGCGGGGTTGGAGCTCACAGACTCGGCATTTCACGCGCCTCGACACCGTCATAGTAGGACCGCGCGCTCACAGATTGCGTCACTTCTGCCTGTATCACCCTGGTCATTGGCTGATTCAGCATTGCATTCTCTCATCCTTCTGCACATGATCCCCTCGGCTCTATCTCGGTTTTGTCACATTGTCTTGGTTTATAATGCACAGTCTATCCCGTCATCTATTACTACAGAGTAGCTCCACGCGCTCATTGCCATCCCCATTTCCGGTTATATCTTCGTGGCTGGGTCTCTGAGTTTTTCTGTTTCCGGGCCTGGGAGCTGGGATTGTATGGTCGTCTGCAGCAGTGGTTACTTCCTTGTGTGAGGGAACTGGTGAAGTATCCGTCAGCCTTCCTGCTCCTCTGATGCTGCTTGGCCTGCTGTGTTCGTCCAGCTCTACATCTTGTTATCTCGATGCTAAACTGCATTGCTTTTGATAAATACATTACAACAACAGCCTGCACTATTCCCTGAGTCTTTGATATTTTGTAGAAATCTATCAATCTCAGTCTTCAACACACTGAATGATGGAATGTCCACAGCTTCTGGGAGCATCGAAGTTTAAGATTCCAGCCCATTACTATGCACTCTTTGGAAAGTATTCCTGTTTTGTATCTGGTGCTATTCCTAACATTTCCTCTACCACTGTAGTGATTGCACTTTACGAGCGTGCTCTTCTGTGTGTCGCTGTGATCGTATAGTGGTTAGTACTCTGCCTTATGACCACAGCAACCTCGGTTTGAATCTGAGTCACGGCAATGGGTGTGTTTGCTGCAATGTTTTTATATTCCTTGTGACACGTGCTCCGGAAATGCGATGAAATATCAAACTTTTTACGTGAAAATATTCTTCAAGGTGATGACAATCTTCTCTCAAACCCCCGTTCTCTCACATATCTGTGTCTGTGAGACACCTAGAGTTGTCTGGGTCACGAACTACTCAGGCAAGTAGCAGCGGGGCAATTCCAAATTGCGCTTCCAAATATACTGGAGATTTAGTCCAACGCCACTTTCTGGAAAGTGCTCAGGTAAGGAACAAAAGAGAACACAACAGGAGTGATCCACGAAGTCTCGAAGAGGTTGGGTTTCCCTTCTGATCAACAATGCGGTGTGCCTGCACGGCAAAAGTAGAGGCGGATCTTCTCCCTTCTCCAGAACAGAAATGAAGGAAATTAGAGAAATTTAACAAAATTTCACATCACAATCACCCTCCTTTTCGCCACAACAGCAAACGACTCTGATTAGAATCAATGCAGGATTTGGTTTCACAGCAGCAGCGAAACAACGATCTCTATTCGCTTTCAGTGAAAAGGGTGAACAACGCAACTTGCCTGGAACATGAAGCAGCAGCGCAGCGTGCTCGGGCCCGGTATCATGCTGGGGGCATTCCGCATGCGATAAGCACTGCACAATGGAAACACAGAGAAATCTAACAAAACTTAGCACTGCAATTAATTGGAATTTTATTCCTTTTCGACACAACAGCAGAGATGGCCAAATAAATTCAAAACAAGCGTGACTGACGAGAAGAGCACGCAGGAAAGCTTCGCCGACGTCAAATCAGAAGCAGGTCCTGCTAACTAAGAAGTAAGCACTTCGGTTTCTGTCCAGTTTAGGACCGGGGACCATTCGCGAATAAGGCGAACTTGATAACCACTACACTACAGCAACATGACACGCTGTAGTCGTGCTCGCTGATCTTTGTACAGCATTGAAATTTGCAGCCCTTAACGTTTTACTTTTCGATTTCAAACAGATTGATGCTGTCTAGCCTTATTTGGCATTATTGAGAAGTAAAGAAAGTCACGTAAAATTGCTCAGAAAATATTCACAAGGATTCTGCCAGGTTTGCGCGGCTTGGAATGTAGGGCGAAGCTAAAGAGGCTGGGCGAAATTTCCCTGCAACGTCGGAGAATGAGAACTTAGAGAAGTTTATAAAGTCATGAGGGATATGAACAGGCTGAATGGTCGAGGTCTTTTTTCACCGGGTGGGCGAGTACAAAACTACAGGGCATATATTTAAGGTGAGAGGGGGGAAAATTAAACAGGAGCTGAGGGGCATTTTTCACACAGAAGGTGGTGCGTGTATGGAATGAACTGCAAGAGGAAGTTGTAGAGGCTGCTGAAATTA